AACGAATACACTGACCCAAGGTCGGGTCGTACGTTTCTACGCATTCTACATCATGTCAAACATTCAATCTAATCACTCTGGGGTCGAATCGTTCGTCATTACATCATAACATAGCCTTCAAATACTCGCAGCAGGCCATCACCGAGAGTATACAGTGATTACCGTGTTTCTACATTGCTGATGACTAGCATGTGGCGATGGAGGACGCATATGCCACCCGATGCTCCAATGCATACTCACTGGTTGTGAGTGGTGGGAGGCATGACGCGTGTCGTTTCTTTACGTGCTTAACGTGTGCTTTGGATTCGCAGACGGCGGGTGTACAAGTTTCAAACACTCCAGAGACTGGGACACAAAGTGCCACCACTCAGCTTCTTCCACGGACATACTGCCCAACTGCTAGGTCCCACCGGTTGGTCGGAATTTCAACGTCTGTTCGATGAATACGGAGTGCAGCATGGAAGCCGGGGCAAGACGATGGTGCTGTACATCGGCACGAAGCCCACCTTTTGCACCACAGACCCAGACCTGGTGCACGAGGTGTTCATCAAGCGAATTGACACGTTCCCAGACCGGCAGGACAATAAAAGCCCTTTACTCACAATCCCTGACCACAACCTGCTTACGCTGAGGGGCGAGCACTGGAAGCACGTCCGCCGCGTGCTCAACCCGACCTTTACTACCAACAAGCTGAAGGGAATGTCGCCGGCTATAAACAGGTCCATCCAAACATTTCTAGACGTACTGGAGAGCAACAGACTCAAAGGCCAGCCGACCGACGTATACGATGCCTTCCGCCGCCTGACGATGGAAGTGATCGGCAAGTGCGCTCTGGCCACGGACGTGCACTGCCAGACGGACCAGCACGACCCGCTGATGATCATGGTGACGACACTTCTCGACTCCGTACCGCTGATGTACATCCTGCGCGGCCTCCAGCCGCTGACGCGCCTGCTGCTGCCCTTGCTACGCACCTTCGGTCCGACCTCTCGCATATACCACACGGAACAGCAGCTGCAGCGCTGGCTCCGCGGCGTCATCCAGCACCGCCTACGGAGCGATGCGACGGTCGCCGACGCTCTGCAGCTACTCCTGGAATCGCAGCGTGCCGACAGCAGCCGCCAAGCAATCACGGAAGAAGAGCTGCTCTCAAACGCGTTCGTTTTCGTCGCGGCCGGTTATGAGACGACGAGTACGGCGTTAGCCTTCACGTCTTACCTGTTGGCGCGTCACCAGGCCGTGCAGAGTCGCCTGTACGACGAGATCGTGGCTAAAGTGCCGGCCAGCGACGGGCTCGACTACGAAACTGTTTCTGGCCTGCCCTACCTGGATATGGTGATTCAGGAGTCACTGCGTCTCTATCCGCCCGTCCCGGGACTGTTCGGCCGACAGGTGAGCGCCGCGACGGAAGTACAGGGGATACACATGCCCCGTAACACCTTCGTGGCCGCGGTACCAATCTGCATGCACTACGACCCGGATCTGTGGCGCGACCCGGAGCGCTTCGACCCGGAGCGATTCAGCGCCGAAAACAAGCCGCATATCGCGCCCTGCAGCTACATGCCGTTCGGCGCCGGGCCGCGCCACTGCATCGGCAAGCGGTTCGCCCTGATGGAGATCAAGCTGGCGCTGTGTCACATGCTGCGCCGGTACCGTCTGCTGCCGACCAGCGAGCCGCTGGTGGCAGCCATTGTGCCGCCGTCTCTTGCGCCCGCCTCCGGCCAGATCAACTTGCGGGTCGAACTGCGAGGGCCGCAGGGTGATTAGGCCGCGGGAGATGTATGGGTGGAATGATGAAGGAAGGTGGTAGAACGGGAAGTAAAATCTGCGGGGAGGAAGGGATGTGGAGGGTTGATGGGGCGGTGAGAAAGTGGTGAAAGATGTCAGGGCGGACAGGAGGGAGGTGTGGAGGGGGAGGGAGAAAGAAGTAAGCGGTAGTGATGAATAAGGGAAGGGGTTGATGGGAGAGTGTGTGCATGAATTTCGTTGAGGGAGGGATGACGAAGAGAAAGGGGATTGGGGCGAGGGCAAGGTGACGGAAGGGAGAGCTGGAAACGAGTGGAGGTGACAGCATGGGAGCGCTGAATGGATATCGGGATGAATAGGTGGGCGAGCAGAGCTTTGCAGGTATGGATGAGAGGAGGCGTCGCTCATGATGTCTTCCTGAACAGGCTACAATGGCCCGGCATGTCTTCGGACAAATTTCGCAACTACCTGCGAGACCGTAAGCAGGTGGTGGCGGCCGGCTCTGACCCGATCTTCCATTGACCTCAAGCGTCGCCCAGAGCCCCATAGTCGGAACTACCCTATTCCTTATCGTCATCCTCATCCCCCTCATTTCCTTCCCCAACGGACATCTCCCATTCATTGTTGACGACACCCAACTCCTGGAAGGCGTCATGTCATGTCACTGGGGCTTTACGACACACTCAGCTGCTGAGGTTATGTGGCGTCGCCTACCTCTCACCCTGGCAGGAAGGCGTTCATCCAGATTTCATCAGCTTATTCCTCTGAAGACCCGTGGCAAAAATTCTGTCATACACTTTAAAAAGTGGTGCCCGTACACAGCCTCAAAATAAATCTCCACGAGACCTATTTTACCGTCTACGGCACCAAATCTTCCACAAAAGTGACATGCAGCTCTTACATTATGTTATCGGGCTTGCGCATTTCGCCACGTCCCTCTGTAAAGGTGCTGAGCATTGTCGCGAATCAAAGTCGGGCCTGGCAGCTCATTATACCGACGGTGGTATGGAAATACAATGCTATTTTTCGTCCTGCTACTAATTACGCCACTATTTCACACCGCCAAGTGCTTGAGCTGTTCGCATGGCCTTATTTTTTCCACGCCTACTATCCTGTCTCTCTGTGTGGGGCTGGTCCGCGCCATGTCATCTGTCACATGCTTTTTTGTCATGGAATCTGTCAAATTTTCGGCAAGACTTGTCACTGTGTTGCGGCGCAGTAAACATATCTCACCTGTCTGAAACTCATTAGGGTGGCTAAGTTTCATGGAAATGGTGCATCAGTGGATTGCCTCAATCTTGACAAGAGCGTAGGTCCCCACATTAAAATACCCAATGTGCCGGGCCCCTAAACAATTCAGTGTGCCGGAGCAGGTTAACAGATGGAGCCCCGACAAGTGTGCAGGGCCCTCCATTCAAATGGAAAGCACCCTGGACCCATTTTCGAGAGCCCCGACCGACAGAGTGTACATAAACAGGTTAACAGATGAGCCCCCGACAAGAAGATGGGGCCCTAAGCAAGTGACATAAAATTGGAATCGCCCTAGACCAATGCAGAGGGCCCATGAGCGTATCGCAAGTGTGTCGGTAGGTGAACCGAAACCAACGTAAAGGTCCCCCGAGCCACCGAGAATACCCGAGCAAGTTAACATGGGGGTCCCCTGCTATAGCCCACAGAGCGTTTCTGGCGACTGGAAAGAATCCGTGGAAGGCCTCTGATTGACAAGAGCGCCCCGGCACGCTAGCAGGACGAGCACAGAAACCGTGCAGGTCCCTCCGAGCAAACGCAAAGCAGTCAGGGCTAACGTGGAAGGCTCCTTAACGGTCGAAATGGCCTTGCAAGTGGGCATATAGATCCCCGGAAACAGGATAGGACTCTGGACAGCGTAATAAGGCTTATAATTTCCAATAAACAACTTTTGCATTATTGAAGGTTTTTATCTTTTCTCGTAGGCCATTCACTTTCGTTTGCAACTCTTCTCGGTGGCCTGGAAATCCAAAGATTTTTTTGTGTTTTGTGTTAAAAAACTGTACCTGTTTGGTCATCTACGGGCCCCTTCGGAGTGTATGGGCCACTCCGGGGTACCACGATGGGTCACGGGCCCCGTGACCACCCTCTCTGGATCCGCCCCTAACCCAATCAGTGGTGGAGGTTAGTGCGGGGGCAGGGGAGGCCACAGCGGCCACGTGCCAACAGTTAGAGGACCAGGTGGAGATAACAATGCCGCTGACTTGTATTGGTGCAGATATGTGGCATGCACCATCATATAAATACCGGTAGAATTGCGTTCTCTATTTCAGTTACACCTTGAGGCACATACAGGTAAAACGAAGAACACCAAGCCCCCCGAAACAAGGTGGTTGAAGTCCGGTTATTTTTTTTTCGAAGCAGGCTCTTCTACGCGACGTGGTCCACATCACATCCGGACAACTCGTAGATACCGGCTAGGCTTCGACCCCGGCCAAATACAAGGAGTGTATGTCCAGAGCCGACGATATTGACGGAAAGGCCGAATGCCGGCGTGAGTTCTCATCATGACCGGTACCTGACCGTATAATGAAATTGATAATGGCTGAGCCTTGCGCAGCATGAACATCTCATCACTCTACTGCCTATGAACTGCTCCAGAAAACCCGGCGCAAGCGTGCAAAGTGGGCCCAAACAAAGGTGCCTGCTGCCGTCCCGGGAATCGAACTCTCCGCCCACCCGTTGCGAACCTAGCAACATCCCGCGGCGCTACGAGTCATCGCGCATTTGGGTGTCGAGATAACTGTCCAAAGCAAAACTATGGCAGCGATGCTCACTACGGATTGGAGATGCCAGTTCGCTGGCGACTCAAATTTGCGGGAGGTGATTTGCAGGTTGCACTGGGCCCAGTACTAGTTCTGGATGTTGATTGGCGGAGAACGCGTGCGATTGGTGGCTTGTGTTTGGCAGAGAGGCGGCCTGCAATTTGCCATCGAAGCGTCTGCAGCCGGCGCCAGCGCCAATTGCTCGGTCCTCCTCTTCTTTTAGGAGGAGGAGCGAGCCTCAGAGCCCTTTTTGTTAGATGCTCCCAGATATCTCAGAGAGAAACGAGAATGGCCGCTGCGGAAAAGCTGCGACTGGAGAGACGTTGCCTGTCTGTCGCGCAGGGAATCTTCTCCTGTCAGAGAAGAGCATGGTCGCGACCATGCTCTTCTCCCGTGCGTGCGCCCTCCCAGATGCTATTATCGAGGTGCAGAACCACGAGGTGTTCCTGCATGCCGCGGGTTACCGAACACAAATGGCAATCGATTGTTCGTGCTATTTTCTGCATGTATCGTGACTGTGACCGTTTTATTAAGTATGTGAAAATGTCTGCTACTTTAAGTCACAGTGTACACCTGACTGGGTCCTTTGGGGACGAATCCTTCATAAGTTAACATATGAACATGAATGCCGGCAAGCACCAAACACAGGAAAATGCTGATAACAATACGGGTTCTGGCCATTATCTCGTTTCTCGGCCGGGTTCGGTTCATCTGGCCCGAAACCAAGTCACACAAGCCTCCCTACTGGCTTGGACTGCTCTGACATTCATATGCCATGTGCTGACTGCTGACAGCGATGCTGCCATGGCTCAGGATTCGAACAGCGTGAATAAGCCTAACGGGTTACCAAACAGTGAGAGCGACTCAGCAGTTACAGCTTGAGATAATAGCGCGCTGTCGAAACCGACGTGGCAAGCCAATACAGAGGTCGAAGGGCAGAGACAAGACAACGTATCAGTAGGAGCGGAACAGTTTCTTGAAAGTGAGATACCGCAAGCGTCAGTGACATGCCAGACGTGATAATACGTGGGGTGGGGGCGTAGGGGCCTTGCCCACTAAGCGAAGCGGCTTGCCTTAGATACCCGGCGATTTCGTAGGAATTACATTCAAACTTCGCGAGTTCGGACCAAAATCAATAATTGCCACCATGAGGGCTTAAAACTGTCCATACCACATTGAATGGATGGGTTTCTGGGACCGGCGCCAACACTAAACAATGGTTGCTAACTGAGCCGCGACCCTACCATTCGATCGTGAAATTCCGGGACAACGGCAGAATTTGGCGGCAGGAGCTTAACGTGTCGCAATGCTCTGCACGGTCGATCCTGCCCTCTGAGTTTACCTGAACTTTAGTATAATCGCTGCCACCTGTTGCAAACCGTACCAGTCTGGGACAAATAGCGAGCGCCGTAAGGGACATAAATCCACCCTGCCACTGGTGGGTGAATCGAAAGGCAGGCGCTCCAACCAACCAAACTAACGGGGCGGGAGGGGACTCGTTGGCCATGTTCTGGTCACACGCTTGGTCAACAAGAAACAACAAACATAGACGCGTTGTATAAAGCCCGTGATCATTCAACAGAGCTGACTTCAGTGCGCAGCTCAACTTCCCAGGGGCTGAAGCCGTTCTTAGCCATACAGACGCCGCGGATCATAAGTTACCATGATGTCCATAAACTTCCGACACTGAGAGAAATCCGGCTGTGGCAGAGCTCGCCCTGAGCTCGTCCCTGACCTCTGGTAAAACAAGGATAGCATGGAGCTTCAGATGCTATGAAGCCTTTTGTTCATGGTGGCAGGACGGTTCGCACAGAATGACATCGTCTTGCAATTACATGCGGGAAGCTTTGTGTTTCAAGCCAACATTCCACGTTTGAAGATGTTGTGGCAAGCATCAGAGGTATACTTTTAGGTGGAAAAGACTGCTCTAAACAACGCAACTTCCCTGTTTAGTAAATGTGTTCCTCAACACGTCATTACTTATGTCATCGTAGCTTGCATAACATTGGTTAAGAGCCAATTAATGCCCGCTATAGCCGGTGATTGTGTTCACCAACGCACGCTATGGACGACTCTACAGCCATATTTTTTGTTGGCCTTAATCACCGCGTGGCCAGTGGAATGGCAGGATGGGAATGATGTTATGATGAGGTCATGGGTGTCTGGGTGATTTTGGAGCAGTTTCCCCGAAAAAGTCTGCATATCTTTGCGAGCGTATGCCTCAGAAAG